GCCTCAACCTGCAGGGCTCCGGCGATCCTTCCGCCTCAGCCTTCCAAGTAGCCGGAATTATAGGCATGCGCTACCACGCCCAGCTGATTTTTTGAGTTATTGTAGAGATGACGTCTCACTGCCCAGGCGGGTCTCGAACCTGCAGGCTCATGCAATCCACTCACCTCAGCCTCCCAAAGGCGCGGGATTACAGGCTGAGCCACCAAGCCTGGCTAATCTTTTATTTTTTTAAGATGAGACTCCCACATGAGTTCATACTAATGGAAAAAAGAAAGTAGAGAAAGTTGTATTAGAAAGGAAAGCAACACCCCCATCTAGGCAGAAGGAATAAAATTTACAGCAAGTTTAGGATTAACCCTGCCTATATGAGGGAAGAACAGTAGGTAAGGATGGCAAGTAATAGGTGTAAGTTTTCATGTTGTGAACTATGAGCTTGTGTCTTTCATTACACACACATACACAAAAAGGGTTTTTTGACTGTGTATCAGGGAACTAGGCTAGGACAGGATTGAGACTAGAGACTAGCTACTGAGAGAAATTAAAGAAGGAGCTGATCATGACAAGTAAAATGTTTGCTGCAAGCTGGGCTCGGTGGCTCAGCCTGTAATTCCGTGCCTTTGGGAGGCTGAGGTGAGTGGATTGCCTGAGCCTATGGGTTCGAGACCCACCTGGGCAACTTGGTGAGACCTCATCTCTACAATAAATGAAATTAGCCGGGTGTGGTAGTGCACACCTGTAGTTCTAGCTACTTGGAAGGCTGAGGCGGAAGGATCACCGGAGCCCAGCAGGTCCAGGCTGCGGTGGCTGGGAGCAGCCACTGCACTCCAGTCTGGGCGACAGAGTGAGATTGCAACTCAAAAAAAAAAGTGTTTGCTGCATAATAAATTACCCCAAAATGTAGTGGTTCAAAATGGCAGCCGGGCTCGGTGGCTCAGCCTGTAATCCCGCACCTTTGGGAGGCTGAGGTGAGTGGATTGCCTGAGCCCGCGGGTTCAAGACCCACCTGGGCAACGAGACCTCATCTCTACAATAAATCAAAAAATCAGCCGGGCGTGGTAGCGCATGCCTGTAATTCTGGCTACTCGGAAGGCTGAGGCAAAAAGGATCGCCGGAGCCCAGCA